GATAAATTGGGAGAAGATGTATATGAGTTTTAAAAAACTGCAGATAAATTTTTAGGGCAGTAAAAGTATTCTGTATGATACTGTAATGGTGGATGCATAACATTATGCATTTTTCAGAACATAGAGCTGTACAACCCAAAGAGTGAATCCCAGTGTAAACTATGGACTTGACTTACTAATAGTGTATCAATATTGGTTCATCAAACGTACTACACTAAGGCAAGATGTTGGGGAAAGTAGGGGGCAGTGATAAGGGGGTATGTGGGAACTCTCTCTACTTTGTGCTCAGTTTTTTTGTAAACCTAAAGGAGCTCTAAAAAATAAAGTCTATGAAGAAAAAAAACTGCAGATGATGAGAGAAAGGTGTTGTGACTTCAGACATATTCTTGCTCTCCGTATTGAATGTCATAATCAAAGAGGAAAAGTCAGTATTGGTGAATTCAACTCTTCCTTTCAACTTGGCCTCTGACGCCTACTTTATTTTAAGCTTTTAGTGTAGAGTTTGGTGATGGCTAGCTGCTGTCCCATGAGGTTTGATTCCAACTACAGATCTGGGGAGAGGCTGTCGCAAGCTTCCCCTAGTGCAATAACACCCTTATCTTCCAAGCTTCAGCGGTGGAGGGAGAATCTTCATGTGAGGTGGGTGCCTGAGCATCATGATCCCAGTTCTGGACTTCTTGTAATCATTGCTGGACTCAGAAGGCACCTCTCTCCCCTTTACAGATCTGACCTAACGTGCACATAGACCATAGCAGAGCTGAATCCAGGCCGTCATATTGAATAAGACTTTATTAAAAGCTTCGAGATATTAGCCTTTACTGTTCCATATATCTGGCTTACTTGGTTGTTTTTGGAGGACCACAGTCTGTCCTTACAGCCCATATCTGTGTGGCAGAGGCCTTCTTTTCATCTCATTGGGGGTTGTCCTTGAACTTTTCTCACTGCCTAAGTGTCCCTTCCTATCAAAGGTTTGTCTTCTAGTACCTCATGCCATGTTCTGGATCTGCCTTTTTTCCAAGGTGAAAACACCTTCATATGGCCTCTCACAGAATGTGTGGCCTTAGCCTTTGTTTCCAAAAGGCCAAACACATAAGAAGTGACATCCACCCAGAAGCTGGGCAAATCAGTTCCTTTTAGCACAGCGTGAATAAAAGCCAGATTAGCATCTGTGCGTCTTGAACTGGAACTATTCTAACTTCCACACGGCTACCAGTGTAAGACCTGAGGGTCCTTTTAGGGGAGCTTACTTCCTAAACTTCAAGTAAGGAAGTCATGAAGACTACCTAATCAGGCATACTTTTCATCTTCAAATCATAGTTTTGTAGAGCTAAAAGAAACCTCAGAGATCTATCATTTTCAATCTGCTTTACTCATTTTATGATACAGAAACAGCCATACAGTTTTAGATAGTACAGGACTTTCCTCAGGGCATAGCTTTGATATTGGCAGAGTCTAGTTTAATGTGTTATAATCCAGTGGCCATTTTACCACAAAATGCTGCCTTTGAAAAAGGCACCAGAGTCAGTTAGAAGTTGAGCCTAGAATTTGCTAACCATAGTCACAGGCCTTTCTTGCAAACCATTTTTACTGTAGTTTATTGAGTTCTTTTTTTCTTAAGATGAAAACACATTGATTTTCTTTTCTTTCTTTTCTTTTTTTTTTTTGTGAGGAAGATCAGCCCTGAGCTAACATCCATGCTAATCCTCCTCTCTTTTTGCTGAGGAAGACCGGCTCTGAGCTAACATGTATTGCCAATCCTCCTCCTTTTTTTCCCCCAAAGCCCCAGTAGATAGTTGTATGTCAT